ACAATTGTATTAAATAAAATAAAACTCAATATAAATAGGACTGCTATATGTATGGGGTGTATGCAATATGTCCAAATAGTGCAATATGTCAAATACAATGAAAACTGTATGTCCATGTAACCTGACTATTAAACAATGACCGTAAGGGTGATTTGCCGAAGGTGACTACAGCTTTTCATTTTAGCAGTCTTATTGCCTGGAGGTAGAAGCTGTTCCATAATCTGTTGGTCTTTGAATTAATACTTCGATACCGTTTACCTGATAGTGGGAGAGAAAACAGTTTATGACTTGGATGACTGGGGTCCTTGAGAATAGACCTGGCCTTCTTAAGACATCTAGCTGAGTAGATATCCTGGATGTTTGATAGCTCACAGCCAGTAATGAGCTGTGCTGACTTCACCACCTTCTGCAGTACTTTGTGATCCTGGGCAGAGCAGCTCCCATACCAGCCAGTGATGCAGCCAGTCAGGATACTCTCAATAGTGCACCTGTAGAAGTTGGTCTGGATGTATGATGGAATGCCAAACTTCTTTAGCCCGCAGAGAAAGAATAGGCGCTGCCGTGCTGTTTTGACCATGATGGTGGTGTTGTGAGACCAGGTTAAGTCCTCTGTGATGTTAACTCCCAGAACTTAAAACTGTTGGCCCTGTCCACTGCAGTCCCATTGTTGTAGGTAGGTATGTGACCATTGTATCATCCCCAAACTTAATGATGTTATGCCTGGAAACACAATCATGGGTAAATAAGGAGTAGAGGAGAGGGTTAAGTAGACAGCCCTGGGGGCTCCAGTGTTAAGAGTCAGGATTAGAAGATATGTTGGTGCCCACCCTCACCACCTGCAGACGTCCCCTCAGGAAGTCCAGGATCCAATTACAAAGCGAGGTGTTCAGTCCCAGGTCCTGGAGCTTGATGACAAGCTTTGAGGGAACTATGGTATTGAATGCTGAGCTGTAATCAACAAACAACATTCTCACATATGTTCCTTTCTTAACCAAGTGTGAGAGGGCAGTATGGAGGGCAGTGTTGATAGGATCCTCTGTTGATCTGTTCTGGCAATACGCAAATTGCAGTGGGTCCAGGGCGTCAGGCAATGAAGAGGTGATGTATGCTTTGATCAACTGCTCAAAGCACTTCATGATAACTGATGTGAGTACAGCGGCATGGTAGTCATTCAGGCAACAGACTCTGGGTTTCTTAGAAACAGGGACAATGGTGGTTTTCTTAAAGCAGGAAGGAACTATAGACTGAGCGAGAGAAAGATTGAATATGTCCAAGAAGACATCTGCCAGCTGGTCTGCACATGCCTGATATGATCAGTGGGTGTTCTCCCTGGATGACTGGAATCCTCCTGTCTGGATCTGCATTACTGACCTCAAACAGAGCATACCTGTAGAAAATAATTTAGCTCATCAGAAAGAAAGGCAGACGGTTGTGTGATATAGCTGAGTTGCCCTTTGTAGTCTGTAATGGTGCATATTCCACAGTTCACGGCTCCGTCAACCACACTCGGCAATCATCCCCACCAGGGATCTTCCCCTGGAACAGAACTTGCTGCATCACCTGCAAATACATAACTAAAACACGCTCATTCAGGGCCCTTCAGGTCAATTCCGGATCACCAAGACGACATCCTGTATCTCCAGCAACCTCATTTACTGTGTCTTGCAAACAATGCCCAGCTATCTACGTTGGGGAAACCAGAAGGAGACTAGGAGAACGCTTCAGAGAACATGTTCGGACTGTGAAGATAAAAGACTTCTTTAAGCCCATAGGTTCTCATTTCACCTCAGACAGCCATGATCACACTAATCTCTCTGTCTCTGTTCTCAAAGAAGGGTTTCTCAACTCCCACAGCAGAAAGACAACAGAAACAAAACCCATCCAGAAACTTGGTTCACACCATCCCCCTTCTCTCAATGATCGACTTATGTTTGTGTAATCTTCTCTATTCTCATGCAGGTTTTGACTTCACAACTTTCTCCACCCCTCTCTACTTTGCATTTCCTGAGTGGCCTCTCTGCCTCTCCCCTCTCCCTCCTCCTGCACTTTTCCAGCTTTTGTTCTCCTGTGTTATTTAATCATTGCCGTCTACCCTGTCTTTCTCACACCTGAAGAAGGCTCCACAGCCGAAATGTTGTGTTTCCTTTATTTTCTTTTCAGCATGGAATAAACCCGTTACTTGTTCCTTTGAAGTAAACAGTCTGTGACAACATTGACAGATTGAAGCCTTCTCTGTCCAGAAAAGAATAAAGATCATGGACATCCATGCAGCAACGTTTACATCATTACATCATCTGTACATCAACTGCTCCAGTGGTGCCGTATAAATGGCCGACCCCAAGCTTCTCTCCCTGTCTGTGTCTCATAGAGAGCAAGTTGAGGTGTGTGAAAAAACAAATTCCTAATAAGAGAAATTGTATATGGTCAATAAAGTCATCTTATCGTTTTGTTCCTGTTTCAAGCAGTCAGTTAAACAAATAACTTGATAATTTTCTCAGTTTAACTTATATTGAATTTTTATGTTTTTACAATTGATGGCTGATATAATTAACTGTACTTCATTGAAAGGAATGGTCATTTTTAAAACACCTTGGAGCCCAGTTAGAGGTATTAGAATTAATTAGACCACCTATGTAAATGAGAGTGCACCAGTAGTGCACCAGTATTCTCACCACACACCAGCCATCAGTGGGGAGGAGAACAGAGTGATGAAGCCAGTTCATAGATGGGGATTATTAGGAGGCTGTGATTGGTAAAGGCCAATGGGACATTTGGCCTGGATGCCAGGGTAACACCCTTACTCTTTTCAAGAAAAGAAACGATTTTTAATGACCACAGACAGTCAGGACCTCGGTTTTATGTCTCATAGAAGAACAGTGCCTTTTTACAGTATAGTGTCCCTGTCACAATACTGGAGCATTAGATTAGCTAAAATCACTTTATTGGCCATATACAATTTCTTGTATTAGGAATTTGTCTTTCTTGCATACTCCAACTTGCTCTCCATGAGACACACAGACAGGGAGAGAAGCTTGGGGTCAGAGCACAGGGTCAGCCATTTATACAGCACCCCCGGGGCAGTTGGGGTTAAGGGTAGGATTCCTCACAACAGAGTAGGATTCCTCTGCTTGCCAAGGGATACGAACTGGCAACCTTCCAGCCACAAGCGCAGATCCTTAGCCACAGAGCCACCGCATTGCCTGTGTGCAGGACCCACACAGACCACAGGGTGAGCGCCTGCTGGCCCCGGAGGACCTGGACCAGAATGCATTGTTACCTGCAAAGGAACAGGTAAAGGCCTAATCCATGGTGAAGGAACAGAAAAGAAACACAACGTTCTGGCTGCGGTGCCTTCGGTGGGTGTGAGACCTGAAGAAGGCTCCACAGCCGGAATGCTGCGTCTCTTTTTCTTTCAGCATGGAATAAACCTTTACCTGTTCCTTTGCAGCCTACCCATACTGACGCAGCTACCTACTTGAACTATCGTTACACCTGGCCATAAGTGCACAGCCATTTCCTGAACGCAGTTGACTCACAGGGATGTTTCCACCCCTTGGGGAATGAGTGAAGAGAACCTTGTTCGGAGTGCATCTAAAAGCCTGTCAACAGAGAATGGAGTACTTTTGGAGATGGAAGGATTGAGGGACAGACTGCAGCAGTCGGACCCAGGAGTGCTCAGCTTGGACACCAGTGACTGGGAGCAGTGACGGAAGACCCCAGCACAGACCTCCTCTCTCCTTTACCCAAAACTGGACTTGGAGACAAACAGGATAGAAGGGGGAACACCAAGGACACACTGTTCAGGACACTGGGTCTGAGATGGATGCCTGGAACTTCACTGTTTCTCCTCTGTGGCATAAGTAGGAATGCCAGGCTACCAGCTGGAGCTAGTTCCAAAGAATAAAGCTGCTGGACCCTTTCTGTGACATTTGGGGTTGGTAAGTGGGGTACTTGTGCTGGTCTGGAATGTGTGTTTTTGAGTTAGTTTTTGTATAATGTGCTCTGGGTTTTGGGCAGAGTGTTAAAGCATGTAATCACAAGAAAATAAAAAGGACACTTAAAACCTAGTCTGTTGCTGGTCTGCGTGTGCACTGGTGATTCTGGGAGATGAATAGAACCTAGCAAGGGTAAAAGGGTTCTGGCATCCTTTATAATTGCTAGGTGGTGTAATTATAAACAGTACACAGTAATTTCTGAAATTAGGGGTCACGCCATCAATGACACTGCCGTTTTAATTAACTCGTAAAAATCCTTATTGTAAGTAATGACATATGTGGTATGTAGTTTTGCTTTATTTTTGCTCTTCCTGTTAGTATTTATAAATGCTAGAATTTGATGTTTAATTTAAGAAATTAAAATCCAATTCGGTACGCATGATTTATTTTAACACAAATGTATCGGGAGAGTAAAGAAAAGCTCGTGTTGATACAATTTTGTTTCACAATGTGACAAAATTTTCAATGACACAAAACAAGATTAATTATTTTTTCACACATCAATTTGTGTCCGTTCGCCTGTATTTATCAGTGTAAAACTGTCCTTTCTGTCTCATCGATTCTCAGAATTTGGGCAAGATTGAACCTTTTACGCAAAATTTTAAATTCAAAATACATTTCACCGTGCCGCCACTAAGCAATACTGCAACTATGTACCACAACTTCTCTTACTTTAAAACTTGAAATTGAAAGTAAATTTACAACGTTGATTAAGCATGAAACAGGAGTTAGGCGTAGTACTGTCTCTTCACGATAAAATGTTAATCTTATAAATAAACTTAATTAATCTTATAGTTTTAGATGCGTCTCCTTATATTGGTTTAATGAAACCAGTGTACAGTAGGTGGATTACTAACAGCAGTGAGTTCTGCAGATTTCAGTCTTTTTTTTACTTTCTTATAGCCACTGTATAAAGAAACATTAACAAGCACAGCCACGTTTCCCCAGAACAACTCAGGAACACTTCACGACCCTTCTTCCACCCTTTTTCTTCCTGTCAGCAAAGTTCACGTCCGCACAAGTATGCTCCTCCTCCTCCTCCTGATCAGATGGAGCTGCTGCTGCAGTAAGCATAAGGGAAGTTGAATGGCTGGGAACTTTTAACAGGTATCGTTTTCTTTTGAAGTGTACAGTATTGTACTATTAGGAAGCTATAGTGTGCAAACACCAGTTCCTGTAAGAATGCTGCGGTGAACTGATTGCCATTGCGCGCTACGTTTGAGGTTGCATATGCAGTGTGACAGCAGGCGATTGCACAGTGTTGCAAATTACGATGCAGCTAGTGTGTCCTTACGTTTGCAAACTAGGTTACAAAACAGTCATCCCTTGTCTTTTTTACTTTTTATTGTTTCTCGTCAGTCTCTTGCACAATAGCCATTTGCCGCAATTATGGGCGAGGTTGAAAAGAACATATACAGTTTTATTGGCGCATTTTGCAATACATTCTGTTGCGAGATCGTATCCTCAAGTTTTACATATATGCCAGTGTTACTAATAATACTATATAGTAATGACTCATGCATTCACCCAGGAGAGTTTTGTAAATAAAGACAAATGAAGTAACCGGTACGAGTGCGCTTCAGAGCTTTCGTTCACTTCTCTTTTACCCCCTGAAGCAGAGTTTCCCATATACGGACCTCATGATGAGCAATCTAGCACATCAAGCTGGTGAACTTTTAATTGTAAACGTAACTTTTGTACAGGCTCTTTAGATGTGGATGTTATTAAGGAAACCTAAAGAAACCCACCGGTTTCCTGTTGCGAGGACAAAAGAAATAGAGGCACCCCTGCTGTAGTTAGAAGCATGTACTGTAATAGTTGTAATGCTGTAAAAGTTGCTGCCAGATGGTGGTTAAACCTCATCTTTCATCTCGCAGAACAGTGCCAGTTATGGTTTCCTAGAGCACTAATCTGGTTAAAACCAGAAGATTACCTTTCCAGGATAAGGGCTGGAGACCCCTTAATGCAGAGTCTCAAACTCAGTTCATGGAGGACCTGTCTTCTGCTTTTTGTTCTAACCTGAGCAGTCAAATAAACATTAAACCTAATTGTTTGCTTAGTTAAAGATTTAAAGGTATTTTGTAGTTGAGCTCAAAGCATTCATTTAAAGTACCTTGAAACACCTCATAATCTTAGAAGTGTTACAGTTCTGCAGTTAATTAAACAATTAAACAATTGGCAACTGAAGCTTAGCAGAAGTGAGCCAGACCAGTACCCGGATGGGAAAAACTAAGGTTGCTGCTGGAAGAGGTGTTAGTGGGGCCAGCAGGGGGCGCTCATCCTGCAGTCTGTGTGGGTCCTAATGCCCCAGTATAGTGATGGGTGCTGTCCTTCGAATGAGATATCAAACCAAGGTCCTGACTGTCTGTGGTCATTAAAAATCCCAGGGCATCCTGGCCAAATTTTCCATTGGCCTTTCCCAGTCATGGCCTCCTAATAATCCCCATCTATGTATTTGCTTCATCGCTCTGTTCTCCTCCCCAATGATAGCTGATGTGCGGTGAGTGTTCTGGTGCACTATGGCTGCCGTCGCATCATCTACAGGTAGGTGGGGCTGCACATTGGTGGTGGTGGAGGGGAGTCCCCATTACCTGTAAAGCACTTTGAGTGGAGTATCCAGAACAGTGCTATATACGTGTAAGGAACTATTAATTATTATTAAACCAACTATACAGTACAAGGATGCATTTACAGTGCAGCAAATGATATCTCAGATGGGGAAAAAAATCCAGAAGACAATAGACCCTCCAGTACCCGAGTCTGATACTTCTGGCTTAAAGGCACTCATAATTAAATATCTGTACTCAGCCACCTTCTCTGAGGTTAAGAGAAAATGTAACTTTAAATCTGTCTTACATAATTCAACCATTATATAATCAAATATTGCTTTCAATGTGATGAACCACTGCACAGCTGTATGTGAGGTATTTTTGCAACCAGACAGTAGATTCTCACTAAAAGAATATTAATGGAAGGGAAAACTCAGACTGGACTACTCTTCATTTGTGCATTAAGCCCTTTTTGCCTTCCCAGAGATCTGTTACCTAATATGTTCAGAATTGCTGGTAACCTTCTGCATTATGTAAGCTTTTTTTGTTTGTGCAATGTTGCTGTGAAACATTCACATATTTTTTCATGCAAAGTGCACAATGTAATCTAGCCCAATAGGAGATCCAAAATTATAGCTACAGAAAATAAAGTTTGTGTTTGTCTAATAAAAACATATGAAAAGAGGATATGGTGACTTAATTTGCTAATTAAATCATTTAGGCAATTCAGATCAGAGTTGTAATGAAAAGCACTGGACTATGTGGCCCTGAGTTACTGAAGCTCTTTTCTTACATTTTAATTTTTAAAATTTGCTTAGGCATTTAAGCGCAGAGGTGATACTTTTCCTTTATAGCTGTTCTTACAAGTGTCGAAGTGTGAACTTAATTTCATTTACACTTCATTTCTAGCCTTTTGTAATAGTGAGAAGTAGATAACACTGGCTTGATCACATCCAGTAAAATGAATACTAATATTCAATATTTTTTCAGTATTATATATGTTATCAATATTTCATTTAATGTGATTGCCATAAAGTATTGTTCTTTGAAATTGCTAGCAGCGTAACTGCACATTAACTACATTAAATTAATATACTCTTGGATATCTCACAAAAATGCCACCAATTAGCTTTCATTTAGTATTAGAGAGGCTGTAAATATGTTGAATAATGTTAATGTTGGGCATGTTGTAATATGTTACTCTTTTCTAAGAGAGAGCGAATATATTGTAATTACAGAATACATTTTTTTTCAAATGTAAGCAATGATTTTCAGAAACTTGCCATAACAGATTATGTGCTGCTTAGCCTGATATTAAGGCTCCTTCTTTGACCATTTTGAGAGTATTTGTGTCGTGAAAAGTAGGTAAGATTAAAAAAAACAGGAGCATGACATACATAAGAGAAGTATTTCCTTACTGGTGTTTTTTAAAATAGCACCATAAAAGAATGCAAAGTTGTCAATCTAGAGTGACAGAATTTTTCCACTTAGAATTTTGATGCATGAGCATATTTTGCTTATTAATTCTAGCTTTATTCATTAATTTGAATAACAATACAGTACTATTTATAAAGTGGTTTTCAAGAAACTCAAAACACTGTCCTTTTTTATTGCAACTAAATACATAATTTCTTGCTAAAATCAATCATTCGGTCTTTTTTTAAAGCAGGAACTACGTATAGTGTAATGTTACAACTGTAATGCATTTGTATCAAAACAGATTTCAGTTTAGCTGGTGTTTGAAATGACCTTTGCAGTATGTAAATGATTAAAGTCTTAAAATTATGAAAGTACTAGATGATGATAATAATAAGCCTTTTGATGTTTTTAAATAAAGGTTAGCGATTTCTCTTTTCACAGTGCCACCTTCAGGTGTACGGGTAAAGGAAAAACATAACATCTCCTCAAGTTTTTAAGTTTTACTTAAAACTAAATCACAGACTTAAATGTCCATACATACATTGAATTTGTTTGACAGATAATTGAAAATTAAACGTGTTTACATCAAATGTCTTCACCGCTGTAGTATTTTCCCCGCATGAATCTGATTTCCATTTCTATTTTGTTTTCCAATAAGTCGTGCATTGGATTTTTTTTTGTGTGTGTGTGATTTCCACAGATCTGAAAGGACGTTGGGGGAGCTACAACATGGTGCTGAACCCAGTAATATCTAAGTTAGGAGGCAAGCTGGTTGTACTGGCAAGCGCTTCTCCGAGACGCCGTGAGATCCTGACCAACGTGGTGAGGCGTTCTTCTCCATTTCACTGACTTTCTGTGCCGGGCTCGGGTGAACTCCCTGTGTTTCTCGGTTTGTCTCAAGGTCAGAATCTGTGAGAGCCTCCTTTTTTAATATTCCAGGGATTGCGGTTTGAGGTGGTCCCTTCGTGGTTTAAGGAAACCCTGGACAAGTCGTTGTTCAAAGCTCCTTATGAATATGCTGTGGAGACGGCAAAGCAGAAAGCGCTGGAGGTGGCGAGACGAATGCAGTTTGTGAGTGAAATCTTTTTTTTTTTGGACTCTGTTGTGGAAGTTGGAACAGACTCACAATCCAGTCACTGCACTGTACACTCATGTCCATCTAACACACAGCATAGAAAACGTGAAACTGGCGTCGATCAAATTTTAATTGTTTTAGGGTAAAAAGAAATGCGAATCATTTGGCTTTCTTTTTATGGTCATTGAAGTTCAAAGGTAAGAGTTTTTGTTTTTTAAGAAATGTTATCACCTTATTTTGATGTCTGTTTATTGGCTGTTTTTCTTGTTTTTTTTATTCAATTCAGAAACACCTCAAAACTCCAGATATTGTGATTGGTGCAGATACAGTTGTGGTAAGGCATTTTGAGTGTTTTAATTTTATGATTTTATGCACAGCTGAGATTTATTAGACAGATTTTCTGGAAACCCTTTTTTTTATTTATTAAGCCTTGTGTTTTTTTCTCCATGCTAGAGAGTTTTTTTTTAATTCCTGAGGAATAGATGTTTGCGACAGATGAGTTTCCTTACTATTTTGAAATGATAATATTACAGCTATTTAGAGCTGACCACTGTAATACACGAGAAAAATCTATTTATTTGCCTAGTTGGTCTTTTAAGTGGAATTTTTCCCAGAAATGCCATTGACTGTTACACCTTTCTCTCTGCATCGCTGTCCCAGACAGTTGACGGCTGCATCCTGGAGAAGCCAGTGGATAAGCAAGATGCCTACAGGATGCTTTCCAGGTTTGCATCAATTCATTCGTTTGGCAGCTCGGTTTAAAGTAAGCAGCAGGAAAATGCTGTTACCCGTCTGAGGAAGAATAAGTACAGAGCTTTACTCGTGCCAGTTATTAAGACCTCCAGACATATTGGTTCCATGATACCCAATACTATATGAAGTCTGTTTCTCAACGTCAGGTATGCACAGCATCTGTATTGATGTAGAGAAATAAAAATCTATCTGTATGAAAAACAAGCACAGTTGTCCCCAGAAACATCCACTGTGCCCTCAGTGTTGACCTGAAGAGTGCATGGTCTTTCACAAATATCTCTGAAAGCTCACAGGTGCCAGGTGGGTCACAGAGAGGCAGTCTAAGGTTACCCGGGCTGACTGCCCTGTTCTGGCGGTGTTGAGCCTGTTGTCTGCAGCTGCTTGGGTAATCAGTTTGAACAGTGCCTGAGCCTAGACAAGAACGAGCAATATCTGGGCTGCGAGGGGCTACTGAGACAGATGAAGCCAGTCTCGAGCTCTTAGGACAGGCTTGGGCAGTTCTCATTTTCAGGAACAGCAGGATTGTCTCTGCTTTACATTCCACCTCAGATCACAGTAGCTTTATTGACCTAATCATTTTGATAAGAAGCGGAATTATGCCTTGTTTTAAGTTTTAATCAGTTGATTTTTTTGTGCTTGTGAAACCTAGAGGACTGGAATTGACCACCTCTCTCCTCGGATATTTATGTCATTATTTGAATTATTCAGGGAGACTTACAATAGATTCCTGGGAGGACATTTTATAGGAACAATACAAGGGTAAAACTACAGTGCCCCACCTGGGATATGAACCGAACGTTCAGTTCCAAAACCCTGGCTTTTATACATTTTTTTAATGCAGGGATTTGAAATGTACGTAATGGGAGAGCAGAAGGATTAGTATGTGATTGTTCTGTGTTCACTTTTTTGTCATTTCTAGGCTAAGCGGTAAAGAGCACAGCGTGTATACAGGAGTTGTAATAATTCACTGCAACAGTGAGTCAGGTACGTAGAGAACAGTGTGACAGTTTGTGGGAGAAATAAAGGCATTCAATGCATCATTTTTCTAGGCACTGCAAAAATATTTAAAGGTTAGAAATTTAACTAGATTAAGAGGATCAGTTCTTAGGGAGAAAAAAGGGAGACGTCAATAAAATATGTGCATGGTTTAGCTCAAGACCTCAGGAAAAAAACATCCCATATTCCTGAACAAATTGTTTTTTGGGTGCTTTGAATTGTTTTTTTTACGTTTACCTGTTTAAGATATTTGCTTGAATAGATTTTTTTAAACAGGAATAGATTTATTTCAATGCAATCATGGTTGCGTTGATTGCTCTTGATTTTCAATAACAGCAGCTACTTTTCAGTTGTTGGATTATCAACAATTATACAGTACCAGTAGAAGTACAGTATGGGGAGAAGCACTACTGCTTTTGGCATTTAATTTATCATATAAACTGTGTAGATTTGTATATAGATCTTGTGTGTGCTATCCTACAGTCTGGACAGAGTGTTTCAGAACATCATATGGCATCTAATAATTCCTGGCTGTTTCTTCTTTAGGTGAAGAAGTGGAATACGATATTGTTGATTTTTATGAAGAAACTAAAGTTAGGTTTGCAGAGCTATCAGAAGAGATGCTATGGGAGTACATTCATAGTGGTGAGCCAATGTACGTGCAGCCCAACAGATTCTCGCTCTACGTGGAAGTGTGAATTGATGGATCTTAATTTTGTGGTTGCATGTTATTTGCTGTCTGTGTGGAGTTTGCATGTTTTCCACGGGTTTGCATGGGTTTTTTCTGGGTCTTCCAGTTTCATCCCACCTTTTAAAGCCATACTGTGCTTGGTAACTTTGATGTCTCTAAAATTGTGTCTTAAATTATGCATATGTGCAGCTTTTGATGGACTGGCACCATATGGGGGGTATAGACCCAACTAGGCCCTTCTGTGCACTGGGACATTCTGAACACCTCACATGGCATGATCCTTACCAGGATTAAATGTTATGGGCAGATGTTATTTAAGTGGCCTTTATACTTGAATTCAAGTCCAAATTGCAACCAAACAAGCAAGACGTGATTGTCTTTTATCTGTTTGCCCCAAGAGATAAATACATAAATTAATCTTTATCTGGTGTTACACTCCTGGTTTAAAACAGTTTGGGGATTATTCTGTGTGACGTTTGTGATTGAAATAATAATAATATGACCCATGATTTAAGTGTAAAAAAACTCAAAGGGCTTAAGAACAATTATGTTGTGCTTATCATATGACAAGTGATACAGTACTTTTGATATGAGCACTGTGAGTCAAATACAAGATCAGATGTAGCAAAGGCAACCCCATCTTACCAGCATTGTGTGTAGTTGGATATATGCTTAAATGCTTCTTTATCTTCTGACAAAAAACTATTTGGATAAGGAAATTAAGACATAATAGAGAAAAATCTTAATGTAAACTTCAAAATACTGTATGTCACCTGTTAGCAGCTTGAAGATGTTTTGTCTAACAGAACTGCGGTAATATTTTAACTTCAGTCTATAATGCATACTTTTCAAGCAAATATTTTACAGGCTTTGAAAAGCACTTTTTTAGACTTCGGTACTGTACATCTGCCCTGTGATTGTGTTTGCTTTGTGAAGTTGCCTAACTGATCCTGGAAAATCATCCAAGATAGAGTGTGTTATTTGTATTTAAACCTATAAGATTCTAAAGGTCAATTACATATTACATTTACAAATGAAAAACACAGACTTTAAACATAGTTAACCATTTTAGTTATGGTCTGTAAAACAGTTTGAGAACATTACACTTTGCTTTTAGATGGATGGACATTGCACTGGACTTGGACTTGTCAGTATTTCTTATTGTGCATTTTGAAAAGCTGTTGGACACCACGCACTTATAAAAGGGAACATTTCACTATGTGCTAAACTTTGCTGAGTAATACAGTGCACAAGGAATTTACCCAGATTTTGGCAGACAACCTTTGAATTCAATATGAATGATTAATTACAAAACACTAACGATTTGCTCATTTGTCCCATTCCTTTTGCATACAACTCTCCAATGATTGCATTCTCTATACATGCAAACTTAAAATGCGCACAAAGAGACAATTACCAACCAAAATTATAGAAGCCATGATGCAGTCTGTGTAGGTGTAGGATGACAAGTAGGTCTAAAATGAGTAGTCTTGTGTACTATCAGTCAGAAAAAGCTGACACCAGTGGCATTTTGACATGTAGCAATTAACACATAGCCTCACTGTGCAGTGTGGTGAAACACGATAAAGCAAATCCTGAGATGACAATATTTTTCATTTTGCATTACACTTCCAAACCACAGTGTTTCTTCGCAGTGGTTGTAAACACAACAATTGTTAATTGTACTAAGACAATGATTGTTCTTTTTTTTTTCTTGAACTGGTTGTCTTAAAGGGACAAAGCAGGAGGCTATGGGATCCAAGCTCTAGGTGGGATGCTGGTGGAATATGTGCACGGGGACTTTCTGAACGTCGTCGGGTTCCCTCTGAATCATTTCTGCAAGACGCTGGGAGAGATCTACAACCCCCCTTCCAAAAACGAAGTCAAACGTGTCAAGTATGACTCCATCCCCAGTGTGGAAACATTCGAAAGCCCGGGCGACCTTGAGAATGGACTTCTGGCATGCGAGGGGGAAAGAGAAGCCGAAGAACCTGATCAGAAGGAAGCCGGTCCTGCAGATTCAATCAAGGATGGCGGCAAAAGTGAAAATGAGTCGCGATCTTCTGCTTCACCACAGTGGGGATCAGTAGCCCCTACAGGGGCTCAGGGTCAGACTGGCTGGAAGCCTGTGTTCCCTCACAGGATTGCAAATCTGTTGGATGGATTCAAAGCCTCAAAGGTATCCTTTTTATTATATAAAACATTGTGACGCGCCATGTCACAATAGGGCCATGGGTGGTGTATCAGGATCTTTCAAAAAGCTGGTCCAAGGAAAACAGACACAACCACAGTGTAAGGTACAAACCAGTGCTGCCTTATTTACAGTGAGAGGGAAAGAAAACAAAAATTTAACAAAAGCCTAGCTCCTCTTCGCGCTACTGCTAACTGACTTCCTCAAAGTCAAGTCCCTCGCTAACATAACCATCTAACAGCTAACAGCCATCAGTCTTAAAACTATTAGGTTTCTCTCCAAAACTCTTTTTCTTCAGGGTTTCTTAGCTCGCAGGCTCTCAGTAAGTTTTTTTCTGTCTGAGTTTGCACCACATAGGATCTAGACTCCTGGTCATTTCCGTTAGGGGTAATTGAAACGGATCCAGCAATGGACTGCTGGAAAACCGATACCGGATATTGCGCTTACAAACGTCTCAACAGACAAATTTACTGATCTCTCCTAAGTAGAAATCTACATCATACATGCAATTAACACTATAAATGAAAGGATAGTAAAGAAGAAATGAAAGGATGGTAAATATAGCCAGTTTGTCCTAAGATGAAATTGCTGAAACTAAAGAGCTTTGAAATGGGAATACTGACAAATGAAACAACAATTTACCTTTGGTCAGCTGCTCTTCCTTCACCATGGCTTCTGGTCTTCATGGCAGAGTCGGGATATGCTCCCTCGAACCCATTTTTGCCTTTAAAAGACCTCCTCCGAACTTGTGACTTGTAAGAGAATGACATGCACTCTAAACACCTACAGTACTGTACAGTTTTCACACTATTTATCACAGTCAAACACTTTACAATGTAACCTGAAGGAACAGACACAAGCTTACAAAACATGGAACAGGAAAGAAACTTTGGTATGTGGTCCTTCTACAATACATTTTTTCAGTAAATGAAAGAATGTCTTGACATTAGAGTATGGGTAACTTCCAAAATAAACAAACACTTGAGTAAGTGAGAGATACCAAGTATATTAAAAGCTGGTGTAGTTCCTAAGTAAATTAGCAATTAACATCGCTTCATGCTTATGGTCTTATATAAAAATGCTGGGCAGGCAGTTGCCCATTATTTTGGCTATCATGGCTAGAAGAGGAGATCTCAGTGTCTTTGAAAGAGGAATGATTCTTAGGGCATGTTTGGCAGGAGCTTCAGCGACAAAGACTGCTCAACTTGTTGATGTTTTGAGAGAAAAAGTGGCTAAGGTGATGTTGGCTTGGAAGTCTGTGTGTAAGACGTCATCAATTAGGGGCAACTATAGACAAACACGCATGCTCTTCAACTGTGGAGAGTGTGTACTAGTTTGAGATGCAGGGCAAAACAGTTGTGTGCCTTTCAGTCAGAAGACAACAAATGACAATCTACGGTGTGAGCAGGCAATTTCATCACATAAAGTCTGTCGAAAACTACTGAGAGGGATACAATGGTCGGGTTGCAATGCATAAACCCCTTATTACACCTAAAAATACAGTTTTGACAGTCAGGGGGTGCAAAGAACACAAGCAGTGGTATTCTGAGCAGCGCAAAAAAGTCATAAGGTCAGATGAGTCATCCTTCGCCCTGTTCTCAACAAGTGGACGAGTACATCTGTGACGCACAACAAAGAAGCCTACAGGCTCAAGTGCTTGTTTCCCACGGTGATTGGTTATGGCGGGTCTTTTATGCAGTGGGGTGCATTTTCCTGTGTCTGTTTAGATTCACTCAACCCCTTAATGTGCAAAATAAAAGCAAAACCATTCTGAGTGATCACACGCATCTTATGGTGAAGCGTTTCTCTCCTGACGGGCGGGAAATCTTCCAGGATGACATTGCCCCCATCCACAGGGCACGGGTGGTCACTGAATTGTTCAATGAGCGGAAGAGTGGTGTCTCCTCCCTCCTCTAGATTTCCAGACACTAGAATCTACGCTGAGGCACATTCAAGCTGTTCTTGTAGCTCGTGGTGGCCCAATGCCCTGTTAAGACGCTTGATGTTGGCTTTTCCTTTATTTTAGCAGTTACCTCTGTCTTGGTGCTGCATGTTATCCTTGGGTGCAACAAAGGATGTAGAAATTTATTCCACATTCATGTGCAATGATGGTGAAGATTGCTTTGTGTTTGTACTGTGCTTAGTTTAACATTTCAGAGCTCTGTTTTTATAATCTAGGAATGGACAATATTACTAAGTACAGTCAATAAAATATAGCTAGATCTACAATAGCTTGCAATTCAACTTCTTCAAGAGTAGTTTTATCAATGGTTGCATTAAAGTAATTGTATTTACACTCCACAATCCAATTATAAAATACAAGAATAATTCGATCGTGGGGATGTAATACAAATATACTTTTTTAGGTGTATTAAGCATAATCATGTGGACTTATCTTTTGGAACTTGCTCAGAACTTTGTAATATGTATTTGTTCCATTGTGAGTGAATTTTTACCTTTCACTTGTACTGTAGGTCTTATTTGCAGCATCCAAGCTGAAAGTGTTTGACTTGCTATCCCATCCAGAAGGCTTGAGAGTTGCAGAGGTTGCTGAGAAAATTCCAGCCTCTGTTGTTGGCACAGAGCGCTTGCTTGATGCCGCCGTTTCACTGGGCTTGCTGGAAAAATCTCGACAGGGAGATTCCGTAGGTATGACATGTAGCAATATCATGGGCAATACTCCAGTTCCTGCAGCTGGGAGCAACAAAACCATCTGTTTGCACTTATGAGTTAATATATTTATTGCTCTGACTTTGTTTTTGGAAAGTACCTTTAAAATTTGATTTTTGTTTTTAACCTTTATTTACATATGTGCTCAGTCTGTTTTTTATGCATGTGGGGCATTAAAGGTTTTATTCTGAACCTCAAAATATTGCCCATGCTTACATCTCAACTTTGTTTTCCTATCCCATCCTTCTTTTACAAAATACTGTACTTCTCCTCCTGATGGCTTTATAAATAAGTAGCTTTCCAGATAGGCAATTCAGATCAAACAGCGGTGCTGCTTAAAGATAGCACTATCACTTCCAAACTCTCTTCTGTTTCAGCATGCAGTGCTTGACTGTCATTGTGGCAATGATGCTAAACGTACCTCAATCTCAAGGCATTGCTTAATCTAGAGCTTCGAACAGCCATTTCATAATGATGTGTTCCTTGAGTGTGCACCACTCATTACCTGGCCAGGTATGAATGGCATTCCAGTACAATTCAATGCACCATCCAGTACAGTCAACGTCCAACTTCTGAGAGGGAATAGCGGTATTTAGCCACTCAAAATTGAGCAGTAGCAAGTCTGTGATGTCTGTAGAACCCTATACATGCCACGCACATCACTTACAAGAAGATAGGAAAGACTTACTTTTGTTGTTAAAATTGTTTTCCAGTATTTAAAAATACAGAAGAAGCAAGCCGGTACCTTGTGTCCACCAGTGAGTATTCTCTCCATGGGTATATCATGCACTGTAACGATCATGTCTGGCCGTTGTTTGGACACCTGGAACATGCTATCCGGGAAGGAACCAGCCAAAATGAGCGAGCCTTTGGGAAGAAATCTGACCGTCTCTTCGAGGTGAGAGGCTACCTTCTGAGCAGTGGGGGAGAGTTTTGGCCTTAATCAGTTAACACAAAAAATATAAAAGAACTGCACTGAACTGCACAATAAAGAATGGTAATGTTATGAATTCCAAAATTACGTTTTGTTCCATTGGAGAACAGTGTTGGAGACATTCTCCAAGTTATTTCATCCGCATGGGAGCGAAACACACAGAGGTGTATTTTGTTGTATGTTTCTCAAAGTAATTAAATTAGAACAGGCCTTAAATATTTTTTTTTGTTATGTTTCACACTCCCTTGCTCTTATCAGGTCAGCCTTGTTCCAAAATCACACACATCTTCTTCTTCCCTGTTTGCCAATGATAATGTCTTTTAACATTGTTGGGTACTTAGTTTTGTAGCATGTATTCCTATATAACAGTATAGTATACATAGTAGCACTTGTGTCCATTCCAGTTCATTCTAGCATTCTTTCATTCCAGTTCAAACCAGTTCTGAATGCCCCATCTCATAAATTACTGCAGCTTCAGCAGAAAAAGTGTGTGCAAAGTTTACAGAGACTCTCTCAAAAACAGCAAGATGATGAAGCAGAAAAAAATCTATAACTGTTTCATGTGCTACACTTGATATCTAGCTGATAAATAAGCTAAATAAGGGGAACTACAGTGCTATTTTTATGTTTTTGGGTTAGAAAGAATCTGAATTGATGAGTATGTTTCAAATTCCAATGGAAGTCAAATGACACTAATGCATAACATCTCCAATTTAGATAAGATATGATCACTTTATTGCCCATATACAATTTCTTGTATTAGGAATTTGTCTTTTTTCGATTTACATCACAAAATAGACTAAAGTCCCAGGTACAGTATGTGCAGCGCGATTCAGAACAAGGCAGTACTGATTTCGGTGATGTGAAAAGGCCCGTTTACGTTGTAGACGAGCAGGATTGTGAATACATCTTTTAAAATTGGAATAGAAATATGGCTCTCAATTTAGAGACGGTTTTGCAGACAAATAATATTTACTTATATTTACTAACTCCACACATAGATCACAGAACATTTGTGCAAACTCTCATTCAGTGGTTTGTGACAAAATGGGGACCTTACAGTACTTTCACAAAGTTCCTGATTTTGTGTTTAATGCGGAATTTGTAAACATTTTGCGAATTTATTTTGTTCCCGAGATTTCATAACCGGTCTGAGAAAGTGGGACAGCAGTTCCCCTTTAACCCTTAATAATAATAATAGTAATAATAATAATTGC